AACCTACCATCCTTATTACTGAAAACTAGAGGCTGAATAAGCGAAGTTAAAAAGTCAGATTTTTCAGGCGCAGAGCAAAGCTACTCTCACTAACAAGTTGTATACCCGACCCAGTCAGACTGATAGACGTTTCTGAATAGTCTGTGGAATGTAATGGAAGCCAACAGTTAGGTAGAAATTGAATTTAGACCAATACACCTTCCATAATCGTTGCACAAAATACAAGCCTTTTTAGAGAAAGATACGATGGTAGGGCGAGACTCTAACTTATGGACGACCTTCGAACGAATTTTAAGTAACCTTGAGAAATACTAGCCAGTCAGCAAACAGAGCAAAAATATATTATACAAAATCAAGGAAATAAAATGGATACACTTCTTATACGTGGTTCAAAAGCTTGTCAGGGTTAGAAAGAGATTTAGAGGTCTTAAAGCCGGAATGCATGAAGTAGAGGAAATCATCTATATGGCTACAGAAAAAAAGCGCGCTATTTAAAAAGGACAGTGGTATTTTTCCTTGCTGAGTAAATTTCATTGTGTTTGATCATTTATTACTTATCAAGGCTACTGTTTTCATTTTAATTGAATTCATTTCAGTTAAAGTATTCGACTAGAGTACCGTTTTTACCGTTCTCTCAATTAGTTTTGTCGTTGGTACTCTTGAGTACCTCATTTTCAATTGTATCTGTTAGTACTTTTGGTCCTAACAATCTACAGTTCTTCACCTTTTGGTCATTGATTATTTTTTTGTTTCTGAGTATCATCGCATCTCGTTCCTTTTTGAAAAGGACTCCTTTCAAATGACCGGACAGTGTAAAAAAAGCAGTTGACAACGTCCGGGTTGTCGCTATCCCGTTGAAAGCGGCATGCAGTGCGACGAGTGTAAAAGCTGGTATCACGAAGTTTGCACGAACTTAACGCCTGCGGCTTTCAAACGGTTCAGTAAGAAGGGTTTCGTATGGCTTTGTCAACAGTGCTGTTCGGATGCGAACAGCCTGTTAACCGAGGCCAATGAAGTGTTTTAGCAAGCGTAGTCGGAACACGTCAAACACCACTCGATCTGTCGACACACAAATCGACATGAAGCAAACTAAGGTTAGTTCGATAACAGATGACTCACGCCGGTCAAAGAAGGTAAAGCAACTTAGGTTAGACGCTGGAGAAAAGGACCTTAAAATTGTAAATGTTCGGGTTGTAAGGCTTCGACAGAGAATGATACCGAAGCCACTTTGGGTGAAGCAAAAAGCCACTTAAATATGCTTCGGATCTGCTACAATAATGCCCGGAGCATACTTAATAAGCGATCGGAACTAGGTGTACAGATTGACTCTACAAAGCCAGACATAATCGCAGTTACAGAAACCTGGCTGACACAGGCTATAGATAGTATGGAACTTGACTTCGAGGGTTCTACGTTAGTAAGGGCCGAGAAAATACAAAAGCGTAAAGGAGGGGGAGTAGCTCTCTTCATTAGGAATGCTATCCCATTTGCCATTATCGACAGTGTATCCCATGAGAGTGGGACATGTGAATTAGTTAGTCTCCGCTTGAAATGCAAGGGACAAGAGCTGCTGATTGGTTTGGTCTATCGCAGTCCAAGCTGTGAGGTAAATGAAGTCTTGCTAAGCAGTCTCAATACTTGGTCCCAAAGTGGTCGATGTCTAATTCTAGGGGACTTTAATGCACGTATGGTAGACTGGGAAAATCCGCGAACCGAATCGTCAGAAAATTCCTTCGAGCAGGAACTAGTTGATGCGGTTATCACATGTGCCCTAGTACAACATGTGAAAGAAGCGACTAGGTACGACCCGGACACTGAATCATCCTTACTAGATCTGATACTCACTCACTATGTGGATGACGTTGCGAACCTTCATTATATGCCACCCCTAGGTAAAAGTGATAACGCAGTTTTAATTTTCGACTTCCATATAACTGTCAGTCACGAGCACGCGTCAGTCCGATCCAGACCTAACGTCTGGAAAGCAAATATACCAGATATCATGCACTCAGCATCGTTAGTAGATTGGACAATAGACCCAGAGTCCTCAGTTTGAACGGCCTGGAACGCGTTTCGAAATTCATACTTAAAAGTTACCACAACCCGCATCCCTTGGACTATACCAAGGGGGCCGAGAAACTCCCCACCATGGTTCAGTAGGGAGGTCCGCATCCTTCTCCGTAAGAGAAGAAAAATGTGGGATAGATTTAGGTTACTGGGGACTGATGAAACTAAATCCCAGTATAGAAAAGTCTGGAATACCTGTGCCTCGACCCTCCGTAAGTCTAGAAAGATGTACGAAGAAAGGATAGTTAAGGAATCCACAGAATGACCTAAACGCTTGTATTCTTACATAAACCAAAGGACGAAGAGAAGAGGAAATATTCCTGCTCTATGGGGAGACAGTACTGCCGCGTAACTAGTGGAAGACGACTTTGGTAAAGCTCAAGTGTTCTAAAACTACTTTAGCAATGTATATACCATAGAAGCGCCCTTCTCGTCAGCGTATACAGATCCCCCCACACATACACTGGATAGCGTGACCATTAAAGAACTTGATGTCTTCGGTCTACTAAATAAGCTTGACATACGTAAATCCACGGGGCCCGATGAATTACATCCTAGGCTACTGAATGAATTATCTAACTTCGTTGCAAACCATTTAAGTATATGCTTTAACCTATCCGTAATGCAGGGTCGTTTACCCAAAGACTGGAAAAACGCCATAGTAAGTCCTGTCTTCAAAACAGGTACGAAACACAAACCTGAGAATTACCGCCCTGCTAGCCTAACTAGTGTGGTTGTTAAAATCTTAGAGAAGATTATTCGGAAGAAGCTGTTTAAGTATCTCGATAAAAACCGGATCCTTTCGGAGAAGCAGCAAGGTTTCAGAATAGGTTACTCTTGTCGCACTAACTTATTAGTGGCTCGTGAAAGCTGGTGCACTCTTAAGGACCAAAATTTACCTGTAGACGTAGCCTTCATTGATTTCAGCAAAGCTTTTGACAAGGTTCCGCACAACCGGCTGTTATATAAGTTAAGAAATGTCGGGATTGGAGGCAATCTATTTATGTGGATAAAAAACTTATTAGTTGGGCGTCAACAAAGAGTTTGGGTGAACTCAAAGTTATCTAGCTGGGGAACTGTGCTTAGTGGAGTGCCCCAGGGTAGTTTTGGGGCCAGTGCTATTCCTCTTGTATGTAAATGACCTTCCTCGTCTCCTATCATCATTGTTCTTGCTATATGCTGACGATGTCAAGATATGGAGAACGATACGATGTGAGGGTGATAGCTTAGAACTCCAAAATGACCTGAAGAAATTATCTGAATGGTCTCAAACCTGGCAGTTGCCGATAAATACTTCCAAGTGTGTTGTGATGCATATCGGTCATCAAGGTACAGATACACACACGATGAATAACACTGAGTTACCTGTCGTCCAAACATATAATGACTTGGGAGCCATCGTTAGCCAAGACTTAAAGACTACTGCACACTGCCGTGCAATAGCCGCCAAAGGTTTTAGAACGTTATGGTCAGTACGTAGGGCTTTTAGTCATGTCGACGTTAAGACGTTTTCGACTTTGTATACAGCGTTCGTACGTCCTAAACTTGAGTACTGCATACAAGCAGCCATCCCCTGTTTAAAAAAAGACAGTGAGCTTCTGGAAAAGGTTCAGAGAACGGCAACTAAGCTGATTCCCAGAATAGCGAAGCTTCCGTATGAAGCTCGACTGGCCAAGCTGAACCTTTTCTCGTTGTCATATCGCAGAACTAGAGGCGACTTGATTACAATTTTCAAAATGCTTAGTGATAAATTTGCACCTGAAATGCCCTCATTTTTCTTGTTTTCCGAAACAGAGAATTTACGAGGACACTCCAAAAAAAGTTCACAAGCCGAGAACAAATTACTTGTCAGCTGACTATCGACTTTCCCATCGAATCATCAACGAGTGGAACTCATTACCTCAGCACGTGGTTGAGGCTTTATTTGTCGATTCTTTCAAAAGAAAGTTGGATCAACTGAGGGACCACCATTGCCAGGACTAAAACAGACCATCAGGCCTCCTGTCCTTCCCAAACTGAAACTGAATAGTCGGCCTCTGGCGCCATGATAAAGTCCCAAAAGCTCTTTCAGCCTCGACCATATAGATTCAATATTGTTTATGTGCAATCCGGTTGTTGAGTGCAGGAAATGCTAGTTGTGGATAACGACAGGATCCACACAACCAGGCCTATGTAGGAACCTGTACGCTCTCCAAACATCCGTATATATTGTAGCACCTGGCTGCAGCCAGTGTTACTGGTGCGTTTATTATTCGGTTCTCAATAATTGTTATAATTTGTCTTAGTTAGGAATTATGTATAGGGTTTTCACCACGAACTGACATCAGATATAATGCCAAAACTTTGTTTAGCCAAGTGGATGAAAGACTTCTGCGCCAAAATCCGAGATCCGTTATCTTATCCTCGATTGGTTCGTTCGCAAATCATAGTCCCGCCCAAAAAATTGAAAGGTGAGCAAGAAACTATTTGGTATTTTGAAAGCTCTTGACAAAATCTCAGAAGACAAGAAATCTCTAAAACTTCACATGTTTTGCAAAGCAAGGATTTCCTATAGACCTTCTTGATAATGCGCAGATAACTTTTGTGTTCAAATCCACCCAAATTATTGCGACTGCTACTATGCATTTCCACGGATACCTGTCAACTCGAAGTTTCGCTATAGAAAAACTACGAAGGACGTCAACGTGAGCGTACAACGTAACCTGTTAAGGCTTCCCATCTAAAGAAAGGATTTCCACTTAAAAAACTAACACTTAGTTTCTTGCTTAGCTAAATTCACAGACCAAGTTCATTTAAATGGCATTTAATACGTATAACAAGAATGATTACATACCATAACACTGAGTACTTACTAGGCTCCTTTACCAAAATATAGTATTATATTATAAAGATGACCATAGCATGTGCACAGGCTTACAAACAATAAGACTTACCAAAATATTATATAGCTGTTTTACAATCCACGAGTTAGCTGAACAAAAAACCTAGTTAGGAGACGAATCATGACCTTGAGAACAAAATCCGCTCGTCCTGAACATTGTCCAATATATTAAACGGTTGTTCATGGTCAAGAAGCTTTCACTTAATCTTCAGTGATAGGGGTAGGTAATTTGTTGAAGTATGTAAACTCTTGTGGTCTATAACACTGTGAAGATACAACCTCGTCATGAATATGCCAACAGAAGGTCCTGATACTATGTGTTCTGGTAGTGAATCCCAGTAGATCACTACTCGGTGTGAGAAATAGAACATCAGACGTGAAAGATTCGATCTCGGTTTTTGAACTTGTCTGAAAGGTTCTCCCAAATTATCAGTCCTAGACAGAAATAAACGATATGAAATATTAACACCAAGGTCATCCTTCAGTATAAGATGAGCCAATAGTTGGTTGTAGTGACCTACTTTTATCAAGAGAACGCGATTGGTTTAATGGAAACAATTATTATTATAACCAATTGTACCAGTATTTATTTTACTGTACTCGTTTGTTTAACTGTACTAAAGACATTCTTCTTTCCGCTGATTGTGACCTTTCACGCACTTACGTTTGCTGTGGTTCCGCTTGTACTCTCTTGATATGATCTCGGCATTCCTTCGACACCACAAGATATCCAAAAAATACATCCCGGCGTCACCTAAATCTGAGAACACGTCTTAACCTCTGGCGAGTCTCTCACAGAAGCCAAATGCGTTGAGTCTGTTACTTGTTTATCCACGTCTGTTGCATATTTTATATTGATATTTTTCAATATATAATATTCTGGCAACAACTTGAGATGACGGATAACGATAAGAAAAATATTAATGTGATAGACTTCGATGTACGCGTACTGAATCGTAGGCGTCATTCATTCACGTCACGATATATTCCACTCTTTATTCGAGAAATTCCCAGAATTAACTAAATCACTAGAGGAGATTCCAGCGGTGGCCAATCGTGTGGTGCACCACATAGTCACCCTCGGACCACTAGTCACGGTAAGACCGCGCCAACTGGCACCGGACAAGTTAACTTTCGCAAAACGTGAGTTTGACATTTTACTAGCAACTGGTATTGTTCATTCTTCTCACAGTCCCTGGGCCTCTCCTCTTCATATGGTGCGCAAGAAGGACTGGGTTAGTTGGAGACCATGCGGCGACTACCGAGCATTAAACGTAGTTGCTATATCTCTCGGTTCACGACGGACCTTCGTCACATTAATGGCGAGTCGAACTATGTAGCTGATGCTCTGTCATATATCCCAGTAAATGCAGTTACTTTACCGATGCTCGATCTTCCTGCTATAGCTGCCTCCCAAGCAAACGATCCCTTTTGTACAAAATTACCACAATATACACCCTTCAGTGCTAGGAAGTACTACTAGCTACTAGCTCAGGTACCATCCTATGCGGTACTTCTACCGGTCTTCCCCAACCCATCGTACCCTCTGCTTACCGTCGTCTTGTCTTCGATGCCCTGCATGGACTGTCTCATCCAGGTATCACAGCTACATTACGTCTCATCGCTGCACGATACGTCTGGTCGTCCATGAATAAAGATGTCCATATGTGGGTAAAGCAATGCTTACAATGTCAACGATCAAAAGTGTAAAGGCACGTAGCTGCCCCCATCTGCACGTTCGCTACGCCTGATGCTCGCTTTGATCACGTTCACATAGACATTGTGGGACCTCTGACACCATAGCATGGGTATGATCACGTGCATCGAACACTTTACAAGATGGCCCGAAGCTATTTCCATCACGGCGAAAACAGTTGCTCACCGCTTCGTAGAACGATGGATAGCTCTGTATGGTTGTCCCTCGACTGTTACGACTGGCCGAAAACAACAATTTGAGTTCGCATTATTCTACTCACTGATCCGGCTGCTTGGTACGGAACGCATACGCACTACCGCCTACCACCCAGCATCAAATGGTTTAGTTGAACGATTTCATGGTCAACTTAAAAGTGCTCCTCAAGAACACGAGAAAAACAATTGGTACGAAACTTTACCGCTCGTCCTCTTGGGTATCAGAAGGAGCTTTAAGACAGATATCTAATGTTCTGCCGCTAAACTTTTGTACGACACGACATTGCGTCTGCCTGAGAAATTTTTCACACCACGAAGCAGTAACGATTTCGCAAAATTAGATTACGTTCATCGACTGTCTGAATTTATATGAAAACTGCCTCCAGTGTCAACTCGAATACAACATCGACAGGTCGCTCTCTCTCGAGAGTTATCTGCCTGTTGACATGTTTTCATGCGAGTATATTCGGTACGAAAACCTCCACAACAGCTTTACGAAGGATCTTTTCACGTGATGTCTCGTCACGAAAAGACCTTCAAGGTTGATCGACATGGCCGCGTCGAGATCTTCAGCACTGATCGTCTCAAACCAGCACACGTTGATGACAGTGCCCTGCCCGACCACTCGATGCTAGACCTATCAAACCTACTTGCAAGATCTCTACATCAACCTCGGATCCCACGCTAGATACATCAGAGACCTCACTTCCACCTCCCGGTCAACAGCACGTGTCATCTGCACCATCTACGTACGAGACTTCAGTCTCACGTCCAGATCAGCAGACCACACCGCCCTTGACTTCGGATGAGATCACAGGCTCACGCGATACAAACGAGACTACCGTCTCACGTTCTGGTCGCCGAGTACGCTAACCCGTACGCCTTCGCGACTAACTGCATAGTCGATAACGGATACGGTGTAGGATTATTCTTATACTACATGCATGCTCACGCCTTCGACCATCACCCGTTTGGTACCGTCGACTTCAGTCAAGCTTGACGAAGGCTGTCCTGATCATCCACGCTGCTGTCAACTCCCTCAGTCGGTATTCTGGTTTCGAATCTGTCTGGCATGTATTTGGTCTTGCGATTGGTTGTTGTGGTCGCTTCTGGTTCCTCGGCTCAACGTGGTTCCATCCTACGTCTGCAGCAATTTCTGGTCCACATCACCATGAAGGCAGTCTTTAGATCCTGGATACAAACCAATCTGGTATGGTACGCTAACTCGAGCAACAGATACAGCACGTCTCCCCTGGTACCGTTCTACGTAAAAGACCTTCGGTGGCAACTCGAGGATCGACGATCGCTTCCTGTTCCGTCAACTTTTCGGTCCTACACTCGCGCGTTTGATACCACGAGATTGCCGAAAAATATGTATCGCTACAACCTCTAATCGCTTTCTGATATCCGGTACGCAACGTTCCTGTAGTGGTGATCATAGTCAATCACGATTCGACGCCAAACTACATGGTCATCCCGTAATCTGCAGTGAGAAAATGGAAAACGTCGAGTTATCTCAGTCTGTCTGCATAGAATAGTCAACAGATAACTTTTACAATTTTAGTCCCACATCGTTGAACTCGGTCTAGCATATTCGTCTAATGCTTGAAACAATAACTCGCTGATTGAATCCAATATTTCAAATGAGGTCTAATGAAAGTCACGTACAGTACTCTAAACGCTTCTTCGTCCAAGTACTGAAAAGACCTACGAATGACCCATAATACCCTGAAGTCTTTGGGGGCAGCAGTCTTACAGTTACTCGTATTTTTGAGATAGCTGCTCATTATGACTCCTAAATCTTTATACCCCATTACTTTATGTAACACGGCTCCACATATTATGCAGTGATATAAATCATCATAGTTATTTAATTGCACCACCACACTCTTGTCAGAACTTTTTTCTGATGACCACCTGCCTATCTATGCAACCAGTGGATTGAGATAACCTTGTAATATTACCCTATCTGATATAATGTGTATGGGTCTCCAAATCTTCATGTAATCGGTGAAGAGTACAACGAATGACTTTGCCACAATTGATAATTCATTTGAATAAAATAAATAAGAGGATCGAGGACTGTACATTGGAAAACTCCACTTTTTACAAGTTTCCACGCTGAGAGAGCTCCATTCACCATCATTCACTGTCTCCTATCATTGAGAAAGTCACTTATCCAAACTACGGTTTCCAAATGAATTTCGAAACTTTCCAGTTTTGATTAAAAACCCATATGAGAAACTCTGTCAAAAGCTTTGCTCAGGTTTATGAAAATTACATCTGCAGGAATCTTCTCCTGCAGCCTGCAGATTTGTCAAGAATGATAGACCTTTCTTAATACCATGTTGTTCCCTGGATAAATGATTTTGCCCTTCCACACAGTTTAATAATCTTTTCTATTAGTTTGACAACTTCACTGGTTACACTAACGGGTAGATAGTTACTAGTCAGGTCTCTGCTCCACGCCTTTTACATCAGGCTGATTATTGCATTTTTGTAGGCTCTTGGTTGTTTGGGCTGCCGCCGATACATATCAAACAATATGACCATAGGTTCAGCAGTTTCATCCGGTAGGTCTTTCATAATCCTAGAATGAATATCTTAGGACCACTGGACGTATCTAGTTTCAGATATTGAAGTAATCTTAAGACAGCTTCTTTCTCAGTAACCACGGGGTACATTGACAAGCCTCCCTGAACACGATTAATTGTTGGTTGTTTCTTATTGCTGATAGAAAACACTTTACTGAAATATTCCGATAAAGCCTCAGCGTTTACGTCATCATCTTACTCCTTTCGGAGTAAGAAAACAAAACATTGAGTGACTCACAAGAATTTAGGATATTATGAACTTCTTATGATCGGCCATAGTTGATCAGCATCCATGACACTTGAGAAAGAAAGTGCAACTTTAAACATTAGAGATATTCGAAATCTGATGGTGAAGAGTAGGAGCATATGGGCATACCTAATAGTCCATGAATAGTGGGAAAGGGTAAACCATGTGTTCTATCATTTGGTTGTATTCATATAAATGATAGTGAGGGTCCGTTGTATTCATGATCAGGCTAGATAGTGGGTAGTCAATAATATAGTTAATCATTGGTGAGCGGGAGTCCAGGGAATGTTGACGAAGCTCTCCAGTGTCAAGTAATAGTGTTATTAGTCTTTTGAACTTGATGATGGTGTTACATTCACGGATAGGCATTGGCAATCTACTCCATAATAAACTAGAAAATAGT